TACCGATTTCAAAACCAAAAACACCGTTGGAAAGGTAATTTTCTGTAGATGAGGAGAGTTTTTATAGTTTCGAAATTGGTTGAAAATTTTCGTTTAAAAATTTCCATATTTGTTAATGGTTGTTTTTGCAACCTGCTCAATTCAAGCGTTTCGCATTTTGTTTTACTTCGTATTTGAAATTAAACTTTGTGTTCAATCTCAGGGGATTGATTAGAGCGGCACAGCGTGCACCGGAGAAACTAAATCCACAATAAATAAAACCGATTGGGATTTCGTATAATTCAAATAGTTTAAATAATTCTTTTATTGAAGTAATTCAACGTATTAATGCAATACAAGGACAATTATGAGCCCGAGTGGCTTATGAAACGGAAAATTGAAAATGCAGGTGCGATGCGGCTGCGGCGGTCGTTACAGAAGAAGTGAAAAAGAATTTTAATTGCGGACACAGGTCACCCTCATTCGCTTACAATAGCAACTATTACAAAGCATTTTTCAAATCTAAATTCACAATGGCAAAATGATGTTGCCGGCCGCACGCATTTTACAAAGAAAGGAAAATTCAATCTAATCGAGCTGGATTAAGTTAGTGTCCATGTCCTCGACACTTTGAAATAAAGATAAATATGAAGATGGAGAAACAAGTGATAACGATGAAGACAAAAAAAAAGGCAAAAGTGAAGACAAAGAGGAAAATTGAGATAAAGGCGAAAATGGAGACAATGAGAATACATAAGAATTTGGTTAACAGAGTTGAAATTTTGCGATAGGAATCGAAATAAAATCAGCCATAAAGGTTACTGAAATTTATCGAATCATCGAAGTTTATAATTATCGAAATTTATCCATGCTTATTAAGTTATCGCAACGTATCGAATTATTCAAACTGATCAATGTTTACTGAGTTGTCGCAATTTATAGACACAGAAACTTAGTTGTCCAAATTTACGGGTAGTTATCGAGCTATAAAAACGTGTGAGATTAACGAAATTTGTCAAGTTAAAGAAATGTATCAAGTTATCGATATTTCTTGAATTATCATTATTTATAGACTTAACGAAATATATCGAGATGTCGTAATGCATGGAGGTCTTTCAACTTACAGAGTTATCGATAATTATTGATCTACTGAATTTGGTTGGTTCAACGAAGCGAAGTTTATGGAATTTTCAAATTATATCGATTTATTGAAATTTCAAGGTTATATTAGCTTATCGATTTATCACTGCTTATCGCATTTAATCGTCTTAACAGAGTGTAAGGAGTTATCAAAATGTTTAGATAGTTTTCGAAAAATGTGGAAATGTCAAAAATAAACATTTATAAAGGTATCCAAAGTCTTTATATTTTTGAGTTATCGAAATTTATCGAGCCATCGAATTTCACAGTTGCCGAAATTGGTCGAGTTAACGAATTTAGTTGAGTTATCGAATTTTAGTGAAATTCATCGAACTATCGATATGTATCAAATCATTGAAATTTATCGATAAACTTGAATGTATCGGGTCAATTCCAAATCATGCCGAAGTCCTCCAAAGACCTTCTCAGATAAGACAAATTTAGTTACGTTTTAGAAGAAGATTTTCCGGTTAGTTAATTTGTACCGTATAAGTTTTGCTACGTGTTAAGATAGAAAACCTCTCCAAGGCTTCTAAAACTAGAAAAACTGTCGAATTTCGACAGTAAGTGGCACTCTAGTATTATTAAAATCGCTTAACTTTTTTATAGAAATTTTGCAACTTTTGAAAACAGCTATATGCAAAGGAGTAGTAGTAATAATAATCAATTAAGCAACCTGTTATGTATGTAAAATTATCTTTATTATTAATGTTAATTATAATTTTTATTCATAATATTGATTTCTAACTATGTATGTATATTAGGTTAACAATGCATTTTGAAAAATAAATTTTGCAAAATAACAATCAAACAAATTTTAAGATTTTTTATTTAAAGTTTCTAAGGTTATTTTGAATTCGCTGTGAAGAAAATGCAACCCTGCGCCGGCTGAAGGTGGCAATGCTAGACGAGTGCAGCTATATGTTTTCCTTACGAAGTATCAGAATGAGTGCTGGAGGAGTCAGAGAGGTGAAAATCTGCACACCGCCCATACAAAACTCGCCAGAATTTTCACCAGTTTTGAAGTGAATGAAACCCGCGGTTTTACCAGATTTTTCACTACTTTTGGCTGGCAGGGTTATGTGTTTCTTTCTGTGTTTACCGTTTTTAATACTTTTTCAGGTAATTCCATGTAAAATAACAAGTAGTAGTAGAGGCAGGTGGAATTTCCTAAAGCAGCTCAAGATGGCGGACTAGAGCGAGAAGTTGCCAACACAATACCTTTTATTATTGCATCATGATCTTCTAGTGTCTTTAAGTTATATTTTTTTCTGTGTAGCAAAGGAGGTATGATAGTAACGTTTTATTTGTATTTTTTATTTTAGCTTAAAGCTGTTCAGTTGTCTTCTAACTTAGAGGTAATTGCAATTGCTGAGGTGAAGTTTGACTCTGATTTGCCTGAATTTCGTACAAGCGGTGGTGCTAATTCTAGTTCAACGAAACATGAGTAAGTAACCTTTATAAAAAAAAGACTTGTCCTTAATCGATATATTTCAAGAGTGTTCGTGCAACCCGTAATGTGGGTGAAAGCAATTGATATTGTGCTGGATCGATTGGTGATGCAAGGTGCTGACCTCAGTACAGTTTTGGCCATAGGCGGCTCTGCTCAGGTATAACTAACAATAAAATCCAAATGTATTAAACAAAGTGGAATAAATATCTGACATACGCTTATTTGAAAATTAAAACGTAAACAATTCATATACATATTTTTTACAGTAAAGGCGCTGGCCCAATGCAGGCTTGCTTTGCCTGCTTAGCTTTGAAAACTGTCAAAAGTTATTTGGAATATACTAAAACGTATGAAGGGTGGCCAAATGGCAGCTTTGCTTCACTTGCTTTAAGCGCCTCAAAGTTTCAAATAGGCAAATGTTTTATTTGAAAGCGTTTCGTAGGCTTTTGACAAAAAGATATGTTCCCGTTCTAAATCAATTCAAACAAACTGCTGCAGACTTTTTTGTACAAAAATTAGCTTCAAAGTTTAATAAAAAGTAGTCTATGTTTCCATATTTATATTTAACATGTCGCTGGATTAAAGTGAAAAGTTGCTAAGTCCAATTTTACGAATTTTACAGGAACTTTGAATACAACATTTTGCGTGTTTAAAGCAAAGCAAAATCCATACAAGTCAGGATTCGATCTCTGTTAAAAAATTTCGTATTATTTTGGCCTTATTGCATATTCGGGGCCTCTTTTGGACTTATAAAATTTATCTTTCATTGAATATAAACGAGAAAAAATGAATCAAGTAGCTTAGTCCTTAATTTCTCTTACTTTCTCTGTCAAAACTTGAGGCTTCATAAAAAGCAGACTTATCAACTTTTCTCACAAATCTAGCGATATTTATGATGTCGAAACTACTGGTAAGTCGTCTCTTGAAAAATCGATTTTTTTTGAGTTTTTTGTTTCTAATAAATGTACATATGTATATATATGTATGTTTAATTATTGTCGTTCCTTTGAAATGCAAAAATTAATTCACATTCATTTAAAAATAAATGTGAAAAGTTTGTTTTGTATTTCTTTTTTTTTAATTTTCCGGAATTTGATGGCAAAATTATTCTTAGTGTAAGGAAACAGACCTTGACTTTTTAACTACACAGCTGGTTGCTTTGACAGCGTTCCAAGCCGCCATTTTGCCAAACGAGTTTTTGAAGTAAATCAAAGCAAATTAAAGTAAGCAAGGCGTGCAAAGCAAGCCTGCATTGCGCCAGCGCCTTAACCCTCGTTTGGCTTTTATTCACGTTACGTTATGTTCAAATTTGCCCCTTTAACTTGTTAAATGAAAACGAGCTTTTTGTAAAACACAATCGTCCACATTGAGCATTTGGAGTTAACTTTGACGGTTGTTTGATTTTAAATACAAATTCAAACAAAATATTCAAAATCAAATTTTTATGTTTCAATTTGTTTTGTGCGAATGTCTGCTTCATGATATTAACGCATACAGATTACTTAGAGACTTCAAAATGTTTAGGTCGTAGCACTATTTATCTCTGCGTACGATGAGACCTGATGGACCACAACTAATTACCGCCTTGGCCCCTTTTTTGGCGGGGATGATTCCCAGATATTTTGGATTGGATGATAGGGGGATTGCCTTTCCGCCTATGGAAGGAAGTCTAAATTGGGGTATCTTATTTCTATTTGTAAACAGTAATAACTCGGTTCTGCTGTGGTTAACGTTAATGCCACTACATTTAGCCCATGTGTGTAGTTTACCCAGTGCCTCCTCTAAGATTTCACTTACATTAGAAAGGAAGAGGCCTGTGACTGCTATCACTACATCGTTAGCATATGCCACTACTTTAACCCCTCCTCTATTGAGTTCCAGCAATATGCCGTTCAACGCTACCACCCACAAGAGTGGTGAGAGTACGCCTCCCTGAGGAGTAACTCTGCTCACATATCTAGTTACTATATTATCTCCGCTTTTGACCTGAATGATTCTGCTTTCCAGCATAGAGCGTATCCAGCCAACCACACCGCCGTCCACACCAATCACTATAAGCGATTGTATGATGGTGTCAGCTTCAACGTTGTTGAAGGCGCTCTCTATATCTAGGAAAGTTGCTAAAGTATATTGCTTGAAAGGAAGTCAGGCTTATGGGTCTAAAGTCCTTTACCGTTTCGTGGTTCTTTCTACCCTGTTTTGGGACAAACACTACTTTACTCGTTTCCAACTCAGGAGGACATACATAGTTCATACTAATACAGGCTCTATAAAGAGTTAGAAGAAGCGGCGCTATTCGCTTCTTTGATTGTTGTAACATGGCCGGTATAATATCATCCGGGTCTGGGGATTTAAATGGAGAGAAACTATTTATTACATAGGTGATCATCTCTATGCTTATTATTGATTCGAGGTCCCTGCTAGGTGTGCTTGGAAGTTCTGTTCCACCTAGTGTTGCTGCATGCTGTTTACAGCCTGGGAAGTGGGATTGAACTAGCATTTCTACGCTTTCATCAATGGAGCTAGTCCATATATCATTTGTCCTTTTAATAAGGCGAGAGTATCTTGCTTAACCTGGCCGAGTCTCTGACATTCTCTATTGCCAGGAATTAGCTTTTGCCCTCCTCAGTTCTTTTTTGTATGATTTTGAGGCTTTTTTGTAAGGGTCCCATTTCTTGGACCTAAAGCACTCGTTACAAAGTTTTCTAACACTATTCCTAAGAGCTCTAAGCTCCCCATTCCACCAGGGCGGGGATTTATTTTTCATGACACTCCATGGGGTCGATTTTTCATAGGCTTTGGTCATCGCCCTCTCTAAATTGCTTACGTTTCGTTCTATCTCATTTGATGAGGTTATGCTTCCTCTCACATTACCTTTGGCTATTTCCTTAGTTAGAATTTTATCATATTTCACCCAATTGGTTGTCCGTAGGTTTCTGTATTTGGAGGGGGTATAGGATAAACCGCGTTGATTAAAGAGTATCCAGCAGTGATCGGACATCGATGGCCTGTCGGAAGCTCTCCAATTCTGGACGGTAACGCCATTATTCTCAGATATTAGTGTTAGGTCCAACACCTCCTCCCATCCAGAAAACCGGTCTGAACTTGGGAAGATAAAGGTTGGTCTATTGCCTCTTTTTCATATACTAAGATTGGTATTTAGTACACAGTGTAGGAGGGACTCCCTCGCTCGTTAACCATTGTGCTGCCCCAGACAAGGTGCCTGGCATTTGCATCACAACCAATAACCGAGGCTTGTCTGGTGTTCCGATCTATTAAGGCTTTGATTTCAGGTGGAGGACTGTCTCGATCATGGGACATGTGTGATGACACCAACAGGATGCTCTGCTGTCTCGCCGTCTCCACCTTAACTACTGTTGTGCCTGCTGTATTGAAATGAGAGCAAAGGAATGCATTTATACCTTTCTTGATAAGAATACATTCCCATGGTTTACCAACCTCGCCCTTGCAGAAGATATTCCTGTATTAAGCTGATGTCAATGTCCTCCTCCTGCGTCCTTAGGGATTCCGACGAGTCGAACTCTGGGTGGGGACCTTCGGGGTTGTCGAGGACGTGGTCCATCACGAAACTCGATAGCTTCACATCGATCTCCACCCATTTTTGCTGCACTGCCAGCGGGGTTCTGCTTCCTTCGTTGATGATTGAAGTCTGCAGGTGGTCTCTCGCTACGTCGCTGAATTGGCGATAGTTTGTGGGTGTTGCGGACTCCGCTACATCAGCTGGCCTTAGGTGTTTTCGTTGAGCCCCATTGCCGCTCTCATTCTGCGAGCGGTTCCTCTTTTGGGCCTCGCTAGTTGCCATAGCGTCGGTAGGTTCCGTTTGGAATCTCTCTTACTCTTCCACAATGCCCATATATCTACGCTTGTCTTCCTCATCGCGTTCATCTACACATCTAGCTGCTGCATTTCGCTCGATTTTATCGAGTATATATAGAGCCTTCTGGTAGCGTAGTCTCATAAGCGCGTTTGAGGGTGTCTTCTTCTTTGGCGGATGGTTGCTGCTGGCAACAGCCGCGTTTTTGCTACAGGTAGGCTTTTCTTCCGGTGTGCTATGGCTGGCACTACCGGTACTAAAGTTATCTATATGAAGAACGGCGGTACTATGGCTGCAACCTTCCGTTCTGCTGCTGCTAACAGCCTTTCCTTCTGAAGTACTTTGGCTGGCACCACCAGTGGAAATGGCTGTCGGGTTTTGGGGTTCCTTGGGGTATTTCAGCAGTCTTTCTTCCTCTGACAGCGTCGTATCTTCGCCGAATGTATTTTGCTGCTTACTTGTTGTTGTTGTTGTTTTGTGTTTTTATTTGAGTTCTCCATATATATTGGCCCGCGAGTAATCCGGAAGGGGTTCGTCGCTCGTTGGCAGAGCCGGGAAGGGTAGTGAAGGTGCTTCTACAACCGACTTTGCCCGGGCATCGGAGGAGACCGTTCGCGACCAGCCATTTTTGCTACCCGCTGGCCATTCATTTACGGTGGCCTACACACCTTGGCTTGGGTAGTGTTGGTACGGTAATCCTTCAACAGTACCACAACGCTCCAGCTTGGATTGTTAAGGAATATTTCCGAAGGCTACAATACCAGGCTTCCCTCTTAGTTCATGGAGGCATGATACAATTCGCGCTGTGAACTATACCATGACACCATTTAAGCTCCTTAGCCATGGCAAGAAGACTCACGCTGAGGAGGGGTGTATGTCTTAAACGTATCAAGTGTCTAAATTAATTCTTTCTCATGTTCGATTTTTGGCCTCATGCCCGAGTTTTCAAGAATCGGGACCATTGTGCGACGTGGGCGTGCTGCCAAAGGTGTATGGTTTGGGTAGCTGGAAGTAGGCCCATGGTTGGTTTGAGGTATTTATTTAGTACTCAAGTGTGCAAACAAAAATTATTTGTGTTAGGGTTGTAGGCTGGGGAGAATGATGATTGGTCAGCAGTTATGTATTAACCCCACCCAGGCTGAAGCTCCGCGAACCAGCCAGTTCACACGCCTTAGCTGTTGACGTGATCGCCAGCTCTTCTCGCCGATGCTTTTATTGGATATATACCGTGGGGGCCCACCGAAAATGCTTTTTGTTTTGGGAAATTTCAAGACCCTACCCCTAATTTTATTCGATTTTATGAGAAATATTATTGCCTATTT